AGACTCATCACGAAAGGGCAAATTCTCGTTTCTAAAGCTGGTAAGTGTTGACTCTGATCGGTGTTCATCCCGCATGTGATATTAAAATGTAATTTCTATTTGGTTCCACTCTATCGCTGCCCGAAAACTTCTTCTTCTTCTTCCTGTGATGTATCTTCTCTGATGTCTTTGATGTCATTGATGTGATGTATGGGTACTGTCTTTGTATTTGACGGTCACTTTGGGTCTCTTTCTGTGTCTCTCTTTGCATTTCCTTCTCTGTCCGTCCATATGTGCGTCCAGTTTGACAGGTCTGGTCGGGCGAAGTCCGACTCGCTCTGCGGCCTCGAGGAAGTGCTCTCTACTCTACAGCCGTCCGTTTTCGTCGACGAACAGCTCTCCAAATATAAGGTAGCCGTCCATCAAATGGTTAGCATTTGCTATAATCAATGGTTTGTCGACTCACGTGACAGGGCTTGGGTTGGAATGACTTCTTGTCGCAGTTCGAGGAGAGGAGAGCTTCCGGTTCGTCGATGGTCTCCGGGTATCGGTTGTCGCAGCCGTTGAGTGAGAGTCGTCGCTCTTCAGCCAATCTGTCGATTCCGGGCGTAAACGCCACTCCAGTCATAGCCGTCACACATCAGCCGCCATCGCCTCACAGGAAGAAGCAACTGTTGCGGACGCAGACCTTCGACAGCACCAACTCGAGTGACCTGAACGAGGAGAACCAGTTGGCGATCACCGCTCACTCGACCCGCAGCCACAGCTGTGTGCCGTCGCCCGTCAACATCGACATCCGTCGGCTGAGTCGGGGTCCTCTCAATCAGCCGAGTCTCGAGTCGCAGGACATCACCGAGAGCTTTGACTCGGCGGACCTCCACTCCCCGCCCCACTCGGCCCTCAGTAGCCAACGAAGCAGTATTCTGTTGTCCCGTTCAGAGCACAAACGCAAGGAAGCGCTTTGGGATCTCTTCCAGAGCGAGAGTGTCTTCCTCTACGACCACCTAATGGTCATGAAGAATGTGTTTATGGAGCCCTTGAAGAAGATTCAGGTGGAGGGCTACGCGATGTTCGCTGAGCCGGAAGTGCTGTTTGGCAATCTGGACGAACTCTGTTGCGTGACGTATGCCTTCTGCAAAGAGTTTCTTAATGTGATCCTTCAGTACATGAACTCCGGTGCAGAAATGAATCCGACAGAGGTTTTAGTCAGACTTTTCCAAAAGGTATTTATAATCGGATTATCCGTAAGTCGACAACAAAAAACATAAGCCGTTAGCCCTGGCAAAACTTAATGCAATATTTGTTTAGATTTTGTAGCTCTCTCTCTCTCTCTCTCTCTCTCTCTCTCTCTCCCTCTTTACAACACGACAAACAAAATCAATTCATTTGCCAAATGATTGCATATTATTATCGTTTCATTCGCTAATCCAGAGCTCAAAAGCCTCTTCACTGACACAGGCCTACCATCGCTATACTCTTAATTACATCAATGCTCTCAACTATTTGGAAACACTTAGACGTCAGGTTGAGTTCAACGAGTTTGAAAAGGTATGCATTTCTATCACAACTGTTCACTCATTTTAATAGTTAAATAATATTTGAGATAATACTGCAATATTTATATTGTATTTATTGTATGAATTCTTAAGTGTGAATTCGTGACAATTATTTTGTAAGAAAATTATAGGTCTAACAGTAGTAATAAACTAGCGACTAATCCTTGTATACATTATTCAAGCACTTAATTCCTGCCAGAATAAGTTATCTGCAATATTTATATAAGAATATAGAAATAATGTTCACTAGTTTAGATTTAAAGTAACCTAAACTGCATCTAATTTAATAAGAATTGATGAACACATGAACCCATTTCTGGGAATGCAATATAAGAATTGAATCCCAATTTCTAATGTCTCTCACGAGTGTTGACAACCACTTGAGTGACAGCACAAAAAAGGTATCGATTTTGACACACAATCTATCGATTCTTGTGATCGAAGTTCTCGCGAATCTATTCCTATTGTTGTGTGAATTTCAGTGGAACTCCATTCTCAACGACAATCATATGAATGCCATAAAAATCGATAAAAAGTAATTATTTATACAATAAAATGAAATGCTGTGATATAATGAGTCCGCGAAATCGACCTCTAATTAGACTCCAATACTTATCATATTAATTAAACTTATGTTAGAGATGTCTAAAAGTACTTCCTAGTTAAGAAAGTGTTGAGAATAGTAATTAAATTTTAAATACTGGGAATTCTGTGATAATTATAGTGTGTATACAAAATAAATTTGCAAATAGTTTACCTAAAATACAGAATAAATTTATGTGTTAATGAAGCGAACACTCATCGAAATGACAACTAATTTAATTGTATTATTTTGTTTGGATATAACAAAAGTGGTGTAACCGAGACTCCCGGTGCAAGAAGCTGCAGCTGACGGACCTATTAGTATCACCGGTTCAGCATATAATGCGCGTCCCATTGATATTAAAAGACATCGAAATGCGAACCGAAGACCTCTTCGAGAAAGAAAACATTACATCGATTATAGAGTCGGAGGAGAACTCACTGCGAGAATTGGACGATAAGATGAAATGGTTGAAGAACTTCGAGCGGCTCCTCGAGATTCAGCGCAATATCGTGTGGCCATCGGTGGTAGACCTCGACCCCAAAGTCTTCATTCCCGATGTAATTATCACTTATCTATACACTAGTTATACAATCGTGTCCTTAATTCAGTCTTTTATATTTTAAATATATTTTTTAATTTTAATCTTTTAAGAATTTTATATTCTATGAGATTCATAAATGTTAACTAGTAACTCACAGTAATAAAATTATTTTTTAATTCAAAAATAATCTAGCTAAAAAAATAAAACCATTTTGGAAACATTATCTCTTTTAAACAATTTCTGAAACAATGCTCTGATTTATTGTCTCTCTTTATTGACATTTAGTTTTGTAGACATTAACAGAACTCCACAACAAATCCAATAATTTTTTGCTGATTTTCGTGAAGTAGTGAAAGTCTATCGAGAATTTCAGTGCAAATTATATTAAGAGAATAATATTCGTTTGACACAAAAGTATTATATTTGGTGTCCAATCACATCATTGCACACATTCTTGTTATGGAAATCTCACAATCAATGCTACAATCAATTCAATGCATTTGATTGGTTTGAGACTCAAAGGATTTGCATTTTTAAGACAATCAAATGAATCACATAATAAACTAGATACTTTTATTCCATTTAGGAATTATTTTTTCCATTAATCATCATGAACATACTGTAGCTATTGCTCAGTTTTACTTATATATCTATATAACTTAAAATATTTTAATAAAATTATTATTATATTATTCTTGTTTATAATCATAATTATTATGAATCCCATACAGTTCCTGAAGGGCCCCCTTTCCAAACAGCCGTGTGAACGGCTTATAGTGAGCCCCCGGCGACAAATCATACTGGAGGGCCCCCTACACATCCTGGACAGCGGCAAACCCATCGAAATGTATGTCATATTATTCGATGACATGCTTATCATCACACGAAGGAAGAAAGGATTGCATAAAAAAGTGAGAATTGGTTACAAACTCTTAAAGAAACAATAATTGAGTGATTTGTGAACACAATCTAATGTATGTCCACTGAAATAGCAATCATCACTGACCGAGAAGTGGGCCTCCACTTGCAGGACAGGCAGCTTTAGCTCGTCCACCCACGAGGGACTCTTCAAGTATGTGGTCTACAAACAGCCCCTCTCTCTCGACAGGTTCTACATCCACGACGTGCTTCCAGGCAGTGAAGGCACAGGTATGCCATTTGATCAAACATTATCAAACAAATAAGTAATTGATTTTAATTGACATTTAGCCACAAACCTCAAGAATGTGTTTGTATTGGTGTGTCTGAATCGCTTCCAACAGGTCGTCACCATTCATACGTTTCAGACCTCTTCCGAAAACACAAAAGTTTGTATTGATTTTAATATACCATTCAAAGCATACTTATAGCTGTATCTGTAATTAATTGATCCGTAGATAACATGGCTGTCGAAGTTGAGGGATACGGCCGACAAGTGGAAGCGAACCCTCCAGAACACGGTATTCCGTAACCAACAGCGACTCAGCAGCGGTAGCGTATCGACTGCCGCCAGTTTTAGAGACAATTCCAGTACAACTCACACCATATCCACCCGATAATCACACTATCGGTGCGATCGTTAGCTAATGGGATAACCAGTTCTCCAATTGTGACTCCATTTTATAATTTTCATACACTTTTAGATGACATTTATGACCCGCGAAACCACACCTAAGAGGCTTTCAAATGTATCTCAAAATAAAACTTATTTTCGATATTTATTCGGAAAACCTTAAGCCAAAGAGATATCTAGATATCAATTGTTTTGTTAACTATTTAATAACATTTGTTTCAAATGATTAATTGTTTAATATACTGGTCAGTTGTAAATTCAATATAAGATATTTTAATCGTTTAGTTAATGAAATGATTAATAAATTCAGTTTTGCCAAAAAACAATTCATTAATTATATGGAAATCTTTCTAATTATTTAGAAAAATATATGATTGTCATTAAATATTATTTAATTTATTCATATTTATAAATTATTGTTTTAAAACAAAAACTCAATTGTGAAATAAGCACAGAATTAATTGTATGTTTATATAATGTTTTATATATATTATTACATATAAATATAGTCTATACATACAGGTATACGATTATTAAATATAGTTTGTATTAAAGATATTATAATTATTGTTAACTCATGTCATGTGAAACATAAATCATTATAAAAAGATCTCAATTTAAGTTTTGTTAAATATATAAATATAACGACAATCTGTTTGATGTGTCAAATGAATACAATTTATATTTTGTACAAATACTATGTAATCAATAATTTCTATAAATAAAAACTCGTTGATTCTATTCAAACAATTCATTTACTTTATTAAACTTTTCACCAATCCTTACATCAAATTCACAAAATCATAACATTTTCACAAATGATTTGTTAAATAGAGACTAATGGGTAAAACAAGTTAACTACAAAACTATTGGTTATAAAAAAGATATTAATTAAATCGTCAAAAAATAATAATCAATTAAATCGCAGTCGTTAATCAACTGATGCCACCATTGATTGGTTTATGCATTTGTACAGTGCATTTGCAGTGAAAATAAATGTTGTTTTTGTGTAACAAATTTCAGGCGATTTATTGGTTTATAGTAAAGTATTGACGCAAAGGAACAACTTATTGGGTGAGACATTAGTTTCACTTTATTTTGACTTATTTTCGTTCGTTTCTTATATAACTTATGAGTATATAATGACTGTCGATGTATACCATAATATTGTTGCCATAAAAGATAATTTATCACTCAATTGAGAATAAGTTTTATTCGCGTTTTTTTTCGTTCAATAGATAACTTTGACGGATCCACACAATGCCTATCGCTGGGAGACGGTATGTATCGACACACAAAATCTTGACTTTACTCCTTTCAACTCAACTCCGAAGTTCAGACTCTGAACTCGGGACTAATAAATCTCAGACCAAATTGTTTTACCCCATCCATCATACGAAACAAAAACTTTTATAAAATATTTAGCTTTTAAAAGCTCATCCATTTAATTGTATTGATTTAACGCTACAGTAGCTACGAATCATTGCATTCAAATCCTTACCATTTATTCCTAAATGATTTAAATTTCTTACACCTATTACTAAATAAATTGGTATTAATTGTCACTAATCTTGTGGTACCTATCTTGTGGTACACTAATCTACCCAGACTCATCACGAAAGGGCAAATTCTCGTTTCTAAAGCTGGTAAGTGTTGACTCTGATCGGTGTTCATCCCGCATGTGATATTAAAATGTAATTTCTATTTGGTTCCACTCTATCGCTGCCCGAAAA